TATTTTTCCTTCTACATAAAACATACCTGTACTTGGGCCGGGGATTTAGCTCAGTGGTTTCGCCGCCTGCTGTGCAAGCACAAGGACCCAAGTTCGATCCCCTGTACAAAAAGTACAAACATACCTGTGCTTTCCTTCCCAGCCCTGTATTTTTCCTCCTACATAAAATATTCCTCATGTTTTCTTTCTTTGTTTCATTTTCCTTTTATAGTTTTTTTTTTTTTTTTTTGTACCGGGGATCAACCTCAGGACCTTGGAATTGTGAGGCAGGCAACAGTGCCACTGAGCTAAATCCCCGGCCCTGTTTCATTTTCCTTATACCACTTGTCATACTTGTAACTGAATCATAGTTATGTAATTTATGATTTAAGTTCATTTGTCTCTATTGGAGCAGGAACCAGGCACATGGTTGGCACTTAAAATTATGCAGTGAATGAATGAATGAAACTTCTATAGCCCTATCACTTTTTTTTTTTGGTACCAGGGATTGAACTTGGGACCTTGTGTTTGCAAGGCAGGCACCAGAACCACTGAGCTAAATCCCTGGCCCTAGCCCTATCACTTTAAAAAAAAAAATTGTACTAGAACCTGTTTGCAGTACATGATGTTTACACTCATCTGGAGGAATAAGTATATGTATATAATATAGCTTGTTTCTTTAATCCCCTCCCAACCACCTCCCTCCCTCTGCCTCTAAATCCCCTTTGCCATTTTCATTCTTCTAATTATTCATGGCTCATGTTTATGACATGTTTACATTCATTGAGGTTATCAGGTTCCTGTACATGGCATATCATAATTCTTCTTGCTTCCCCTTCCCTTTTCTCCTTACCCTCTGTCTCCTGGACCTCTTCCCAATTGCAAGAGATGTAGCCCCTTCTTTCCTCCTATACATCCTTTATTATTCCCTTTGCTTGTACTTTGCCTTACTCAAATGAACAGTACCATAAAGAATTTAAACTTGTTTGTCTGATTTATCTCATTCAACTTTATATTTTCCAGGTGCATCCATTTTTCTTGAATTTATCCTTTATAGCCAAGTAGTATTTTATTATGTATAGATACCACATTTTCTTTATCCATTCATTTGTTGATGGGCATATAGGCTGTTTCCGGGATTTATCTATTATGAATTGTTCTGTTATAAACACTGGTATGCATGGATCACCGTTGTATGATGTCTTTAGCTATTTGAAGAAAATACCTAGATGGGGAATAGCTGGGTCATATGGAATTTCTAATTTTAGTTGTTGGAGAAATCTCCATACTGATTTCCATAATGGTTATACCATTATGTTGGTTATACCAACAAAGCAGGAGGGTTCCTTTTTCACCACAGCCTCGCCAGCATTTGTTATCTTTGACTTCTTGATGACTGCCATTCTTTCTGGTGTAAAATGGAATCTTAGCATTGTTTTCTTTCTTTCTTTTTTTTTTGTTACTGGGGATGGAACTCAGGACCTTACACTTGTGAGGCAGGTGTTGGCACCACTGAGCTAAATCCCCGGATTAGCGTTGTTTTAATTTGCATTTCTGTAGTGGGCAGAGGTGTTGAACATTTTTTCATATCTTTGTTGCCCATTAGTATGTCTTGTGAGAAGTGTCTGTTTATTTCACTTGCCCATTTCTTCATTGGGTCTTTCAGGTGGTCTAATTTTTTTATTTCTTTATATATTCTAGATATTTTGTTTTTTTTGAGACAGGGTCTCACTTAGTACTTAAAGCTGACTTTGAACTCATTATGTAGCCCAGACTGGCCTTGAATTTGTAGTGATTCTCCTGCCTCATCCCAATTCCTGAGTGTTGGGATTATGGGCATGCGTTACCATGCCCAGCTTATAGTAATAGTCCTATCACTTTTATACTGTTGGTTGCAGCCAAGAAACTGTCAGAAGAAAAAGGGAAATAGAACCTGATGCTGTTAGTCATCAGTAGGCAGGAAAACCCCAGAAAGCTGAAAGGAGTTTAAGAAAAACAATCAAAACCCTTGATTAAGAAAGTTCCCAGGATAAAAATACAATGATGCCCTATTGGCTTGAAGGGAATAATTTAGTAAAGATATACGATCACTGTAGTCACATTTGAAGGAAATGAGGTAAAAGTGATGTTTGTATTTCAAATAGAATTGCTTTGAGCCGATACAACAGAGAACATTTGAACAATGTGCTTCCTTGAACCTCTGGAAGTAAAGTGTTAGTGATGAAAGCAGCTCACAGCATGGCATGTGAAAAAACAGGATCAGAATGTACCTTGCCCAATAACAACATTAGTTATCCTATTCCCTTGCTAGCATACCTTTCAATGGGTGTGAAGCAAAACATCTGTTGTGAGAAGAATGGTGCTATACCTGAGGATAGGTTGTCTAAGAAATTCCAAGAGAGGAAACTGCTAATGTCCTAAATACTATGAAACAAGTGTACTTGGCCAATAGATCCAAGTTCCTATGGAAGTCAAATTTTATTTGACTGATGGGCTTTAGCAAGATAAAGAATAGGAAGCTCTTGACTTCCATGGATGCATCAAATAAATATTTGCACATGGGTCAATTCTAAGAGAAATCCAGAAACTGGTTGTGAATCTACTTCACACTGGGCAGCTGACAAAATACCCACATGAAAATGGGTAGGAAAAGCTGAGACATACACACACCACACATCCCAACATGGGCACTGCATCAAACAAGTGAGAATGAATCCCTAAATCCCAGCTTCCTGAGCCAGGTTGATTTGGGCTTCAGATAGCTCCCCAACTCACAGTTTCTACCCAGAGGTTTGGCGTCTAAATCACTGCTTTGGGAGAAGACAAGGTCCAGCATTTTGAATCCCCTAAGACGACAGGGGAAAAAGAGACAGTTTTTTTTTTTTGGTACCGAGGATCGAACTCAGGTCCTTGCACTTGCGCAGCAGGCAGCAAAACCACTGAGCTAAATCCCCGGCCCAAAAGAGACAGTTTTAAATGGGAACATGAGCACTTCCAGGGTCTAGTACAGAGCAAACATGTAGAAATACCCAATTCCCACTTTCTCCCTGGAATAGATTAGTCTACATACTTTCCCAGCTGCTGCCTGAGATCAAGCTTCTAACTAGCCTGGATCTGGGATCCAGCAGGGCAGGTAATACAGATAACTTCAGGAGTCCTGAACAGGCATCTGGCCACTTCACTGGCCTCCTTCCCTAACCTCACACCCTCACATCCCTCTACCTTGCTCCAGAATAAAGGCAGGTCCCCAGCTTCTCCTTGGAAGGAATTTGTCCACAAATTGAGTGCGCTAACTCCCCGCCCCCTCCTAGTATTGGGGATTAAACCCAGGGCCCTTGTATTGAGCTACATTTCCATCCCTTTTTATTTTTTAGTTTGAAATAAGAGTCTTGCTAAGTCACTACATTTCCCAGGCGGAGCTCTAACTTACAATCCGCCTGACTCAGCCACCCAGGGTGCTGGGATTACACATGTGCTCCACCACACTCAGCCCTAACTTTATTTACTTAACTATTGCCCTAACTTTTACACTCCCATCTGCAGCACTCATTACTAAATCACCTGGCTCTTGGAATTGAAGGCAGTCTGCATTCATGAATCCTCCTGGATCAGTACAAAATGGTGAAATGCCATACCAACACCAGCAGCTATTTCCTACCAGTCCAAAAGGATCAGGCAAGCTGGGTAGGGTGGCACACGCCTGTAATCCCACCACACAAGAGCCTGAGACAGGAGGATCACTGTGAGTTTGAGGCCAGCCTGAACTCCATAGTGAGACCCTGTCTCAAAAAATAAAGAATACAAATGAAAACACAGTTTACCAAAACTTGTAGAATTTAGCAAGAAAGATTTCAAATAAGTCACCTAACTTAAGGCATGGGGCTGTAGCTCAATGGAACGGTGCTTGTCTAGCATGCCCAAGGCACTGGTTTCAATCCTCAGTACCTCTGGGAAGAGAAAAAAATTTGGGGATGAAGTAGGGCTGTGTATAGTTCAGTAGTGGAGCATTTGATGCCATGCTTCCGGCCCTAGGTTCATTCCCCAGCATGACAACCACAACAAAAGATCCACCTTTATGCCTCAATTAACCAGAAAAAGAAAAACAAACTGAATTGAGAATTAGCAGAAGGAAGTGAACATAAGGATCTGAGTAGAAATAAATCAAGTAAAAAACAGAAAAGGTATAGAAAAACCAACAAACAAAAAACTATAGAAAAGAGTTGGTCTTATGAAAATTAAAATTGACAAACCTAGCCTTGGGGTGTGGAAGCTCATGACTGTAATCCTAGCAGTGGGGAGGCTGAGGCAGGAGGATCACCAAGAATTGGAGGCCAGCCTGGACTACATAGTGAGACCCTTTCAAAAATAAATAAATAAATAAAAATTGACGAACTTGCTTGGGATTTAGCTTAGTGGTTCCGCTGCCTGCCTTGCAAGCGCAAGGTCATAAGTTCGATCCCTGAAACCTCACCCACCCAAAAATTGACAAACTTTTAGGTAGACTAAAAAAAAGAAAAAGATAAGACTCAAAAAGTGAAATGGGAGATATTACAATAGATTCCTCAGAAATAAAGATAAGGGTGCTATTATGAACAATTATATACCAATAAATTTTTTCTAAGTATATTGCTAATTATTTTATAATAAAACAATACCAAATCTTATTTTAATTATAAAATTTTGCAAATTATATGTTTTACATCTTGATACAAGGAAAAATATAACAATCAATTTTCATAAACATTTCAGAGATGGATTGGAATATTCCCAAGTCTTTTACTTACTTTGACTACTAAATATCTTTTTTAAGTGCTCAGTTTTTATATTAAAACTGCAAAGATTACTAAGCTTAAAACGTTACATTTAAGCAATGTAAAAAAGTTTTACAATGATTTAACATAACCAATGAAATTTATTAAACATATTTACATACATTCACAAATTCTTTCATAGTTGAGTATTAAAATAGATATTTACAATTTTAGAATTTTCATTCAAAGGTATTTTTGTTTTTCTTTCAGGGGAAATAAGCTCTACTGTGAGACAAGAAAGATAAGTTTCTTTGTATGAGTAATTATAAGCAAGGTGCCCAATACAGTAAGCCACAAGATCTATAACAGAAGACTGGTATGAAACCCCTCACACTGTTCCAAGCATCAACCATGGACAGAGTTAAATCATAGGAAGTGTGGAATACAACCCGGTTACAGGCTGTACAGGGATGGCAATGGAAACACGTTGACACAAACAGATGCATGCCTTGTATAAGTGTTGCTACCTGAACACACAGTTATTATATGTCATACAAAACTACAACTTTGATCCAATAAAATATTAGACCAAACAGTTTTACTGCTTTTTTGTACAAGTTTTAACTATCAATCTCTTTGTACTGTATACATTTTGACAATTAATTATAAGATACACATCTGCATAATATGTATGTTATTAAAAAGAATGACAGTATTAAAATTTTAAAAAAGAAAACTACAATTTACAGACATAGTAAACTGAAGAAATTTTGTGCTAAGGTTTTCTTCCATATTAGAAAATATTTGGTCGGAATTGAACCTTTTAGGTTACTACTTTTTTTTTGTATATCCTTTTATTGGTACATTTTAGGTGTACAATATAATGACATTCATCATTGGAGATA